CTTTACTTCACAAACTTCTCAAATATCACCTCCTGAAAAAAGCCTTCCCTTTCATTTGTCCACTCTTCTGTATGCATGTTATATGTCAGTGAAATGGATTTAAAGGAAGAATAAAAGAGGAAAGAAAAAAATGGTTTTATTATGGCTGTCTAACTTTGAGACAACAGTTGTAATTATGGCTAATTACTTCCCAACCAAATCATAAGATATTATCTTATTCACTTAGAACTTCTGTATTTCTTATGTATATTAAAAATTTAGTTACCTGAATGTGAATAAGAAAATGGGTTAGAAATGGAGGGAAAAGGCACTTTTTTTCTTAGTAAAAAGTGAAAAATAAGATAAAATCTTATAAACAGTATGGGCACCAAAATGGCCATAAGGCTACAAGAACTATTAGCCAAAAATGATTTTCCTCCGGGCTCGCAGGTGGCATGATGGTTGAAGCAGCTGGACTCCCACATGGCTGATCATGGTTCAAGTCCTGAACCTGGTGGCTTGCTTTCTCACTTTCCTTCTCTCTCTCTGTCTCTGGGCAACTTAAAATAAATAAAACAAAATAAAATAATAACAATGAATAAAATTAAATAAAAAATAATTCTTTAAAAAGAATGATTTTCCTCACTCAGGCCTGACTATACTGAGTGAGCAAGACACATTAAAACCTACTTTAAAAAATTATTTAATTTCATTTAACATCATCATCATCATCATCATCATTATTATTAAATTTGCTATAGGACACATATGCTCACCAGAAAGAGATGAAAAGAGAGAAAGAGAAAGCAAGACACTAGGTCGGGAACTCAAACCACTGATGGCCATGTGGGAGTTTAGTATCTTGGCCATCATACCACCTGCTGGCCCAAAAGCCTGTTTTTAGACAAAGAATTTAGAAATTTAATTTTTAATTTTTTTTTTTTTTTTGCCTAACTACACGGGCACTTGCCAGAGACAGAGAGAGAGAGAGAGAGAGAATGTGAGAAAGCACCCCCCCATGGGAATGGTCTCGCTACAATGCCTTCTCTTCTTCTCTTCCATCTCTTCCTCTTTTCAGGATTTTGGCATTCACAAGCACAGGTACACATGTACTTGGTGTGTTTCTCAAGCAACCAGGTCCAGGACTAGAAATATACAATTTGTCATGTGGGATTCAGCTGCCTTAACCAGCATGCCACAGGCTAGCCCAAGGATTCCTTTTTAATAAGAAGTATAGAGAGAGAGATGAAAATAGCACTAAGGTAGAAGCTAAACCAAGGGATTGTTATTTCATAGTCTACTATAGTCATGTTCCTTCCTTTATAAAAAAAAATTGATTTAATTTATATTTATTTTATTATTTCTCGATTTGACCAGAAAGTCGTAGAAAGAGAGGGAAAGTGAGAAAGCAAGCCACCAGGTGCCAGACTTTAACTTTGTTTAATCCAGCAGGTGGCATGGTGGTTAAGGGCACTGGATTCCTACATGGCTGACAGGGGTTAGAGTCCTGGACCTAGAGGCTTGCTTTCTCGCTTTCTATCTCTCTCTTGGTTCCTCTCTGGTCAAATTAAAACGAATAAATAATGGGACCAGCAGTTAGCATAATGGCTATGTCGCTGAACACCCGTGTAGTTGACTGTGGTTTGAGTCCTGGATCCAGTGGCTTAAACTCATGCCAGGCGCGTGTGCGTGCGTGCCAAAGATCCCGAGAGGAGAAGGGATTGTGGCGTGGCCATCCCCCCTGGGGGGGGGGTGATGTCTTGCTTTCTGTCTCTCTCTCTCTAGCAAGCGTACATGCCCTATAGCAAAACAAACAAAAAACTTCAACAACAACAACAACAAAATAAATAATTAAAGTTAAATAAAATAATTATTTAAAAAAATTTATGGGGGAAAAAAGACTTTCCTGATCATAATTAAAATAGTTTTCCCATTCCACATAATTTTCTATCCTCTTACCCTGCTTATGTTTCTTCATTGGACTCTTTTTATGACATGTTCTACTTATTTACAGTTACTATGTTTCTCTTATAAGGTAAATTCTGGGTCCTGGTGTGTTCAAGGAAGCCATGCTCTGAACTCATCTCCTAGACTCCCAAAATATTCAGACAAGGTAGGATGACCTCTGTCTTCTCTCTGTCTCTGGCTGGCTGTCTCACGCTCTCTCTCTCTTTAAATATATATATTTTTTAATTTAAAAATTTCAACCTCCTCTGCTCAGCTTGGGCCTTTCCTTTCACTTGTTAATTTCAGAAGCCATTTTAAAGCTGAGGTGTATCCTTGTGTGTCCGTGCACCAAAATATTCAGACAAGGTAGGATGACCTCTGTCTTCTCTCTGTCTCTGGCTGGCTGTCTCACGCTCTCTCTCTCTTTAAATATATATATTTTTTAATTTAAAAATTTCAACCTCCTCTGCTCAGCTTGGGCCTTTCCTTTCACTTGTTAATTTCAGAAGCCATTTTAAAGCTGAGGTGTATCCTTGTGTGTCCGTGCAGTTTTCATTTTTTACTCTTTTTTAGTAGTATTTTTCTAGTTTTTTTCCTTTTTGCTTATAATTTTTAACTTTACTTTCTTACTCTAAGCTTCACTCTCCACACATTTAATGTTTAGATAGGCCTAGGTGCACAGTAGCCAAGCATCTGAATTCTTTTAGAGTCACTGAAATCCTCAACGCTTAGTGAACCTGTTTTAATGAAGAAATTTCTTTTTATAAATCTCAATTCCTAATCTTACTGTAGATGCCACAATGCTAAGCACTGTGGAGGAGAGATTTTTGTCACAGAATGACCAGAGGCACAAGAAACACGAGAAACCAAGAAAGTATCTCTCCCTTAAGGGAAAAGAACAATCCCTTATCATCCACAGACAGTACAGTAGAATTTGTGGAAATGTCTGACAGAGACTTCAGAATATTCATAGTGACCAAACTAAATGAAATGCAAGAGCTGAGAAATAATGAACATCAGAAGATGTAGGAGAAAAGAGACAATGAGTTTCAGGAGGTGTTGAAGTTCTTTCATGATCTGAAAGAGGACATACACAACATAAAAAAGAACCAAATGGAGTTATTAGAGATGAAGACTGCCATTCAGGAATCAAAACCTCCCTTGAAAGTATTAAAAACAGATTAGTCCATACAGAAAATCAAATCTTGGATGTTGAAGGCAAAACTTCTGATCTAGAAAAAACAACCAAAAAAAAAAAAAAAAACTGAGAAAATAACCAAAAAAATGAGAATACTATACGAGAAATACTAGACAACATAAAGTGCCCAATCATCTGGATAACTGGTATGCCAGAAGGTGAGGAAACTAGTAAGGGAATTGATCATCTATTCCATAAAATCTTGGAAGAAAACTTTCCAAATCTAAAGAGGCATTCAAATATCCAGACCCAAGAAATACAACAGACCCCTAATAGAATCAACCCAAGAAGATCTTCTCCAAGGCACATCATAGCCAGACTGGCCAAAACTACAGACAAAGACAAGATATTAAAACTGGCAAAGAGAGAAATGTCAGGTTACTTATAAAGCTATTCCATCAGGCTAACCTCAGACCTCTCATCAGAAACAATGCAAGCAAGGAAAGAATGGGAAATATATTCAAAGCGTTAAGTGAAAAACAATTTCAACCAAGAATACTATACCCAGCAAGATTATCTTTCATATGGAAAGAAAGAATAAAAACATTCTCAGATAAACAAGACCTGAAAGAATTTGCCAGTAGCAGACCCATTCTTCAAGAAGTTCTAAAAGGAGTGCTCAACCAGGAAAACTGAAGACACATACAGAAGGCAACCAAGAAAATGACCAATTTAATGCTAGGGACAAGAAATATCAATAACAATGTTGAATGCTAACTTCCAGGATTTAAACAGAAAGACTGGACCACGGCAAAACTGCATATTCAACATAAGAGAGTTTGAACATAAGACTGAACTGGCGAAATAGAATTTTATGACTTTTGAATAAAACATTACTGATTTTTTTTACTATGCTTTGTTTTCCCAATTTACACATTTTACTTTCTTTTAAGTTGTTGATAGGTTCAGCAATTTGTTAAAATATTTTTCTTGTTTGTTTCTTTAAGTGGAAATACAAACTTTTCTTCCTTCCTGACCCCTCTTGAATTGGAAATATTTGGGAGTATTCTTATTTTGTGGCAGAAGGTTTATTTGTGTAAGTTCAATAATACCTGTTGTATTGAATCAGAAATTAGAAATACTCATTATTGGACAGGGCTTTGACTGGAATGTCATATCTGAAGATCAATCAGATAACTGTGGAACTAATGTGCATCTCAAGTAAGCCAACAGAAGCTCTTAGAAAGATGGCCTGGCACCATAAATAGTTCTGTCTGGAAGAGAGGACTGGAGAAGATATATAAAATAATTTATAACATAAAATAACCTGGACTTTTCCAGCCCAGCATTGTAATCAGTAGAGGCTGCAAAAGAGAAACCACACCAGAGGATTATCTTGAGAAAGTCTTTGAAGGAAGAAAAAGAAACTGATCTTTGCCTCCAGATGGTAGATCACAGAATACTTGGTCAGGGCTGAATTGAGCAGGTTTATGTGTGACTTGTGTGCTGGGCATTGGCTTTTCAACAATTTGAGTAGTCGCCATGTAAATAGTTTTTCAAAAATATTTAAAACCATACTGTTTCTGCTGTTAGAGAGTTGCAAACAAAATTTTAGGAAATATTTTAAATATTACCTTTAAAATTCAATATTTTGAAATTGTGAAAGTTGTTTATTAACTGTCAAGAACTATGGAGTATGAGTAAACTTTTTTTGATAAGTAAAGTAAATGCTTGTGGAAAAATGTAAGAATAAATTAATTAAAAAAAAGAAAGATAAATTCTGTGGAGATTTTATTGGCATTGTTTACTACTGTATTGATACTACCTATAGTAGTATCCAGCTCAAAGATTATCTATCTGAAACAACTAGTCCACTAACTAGTTGTTTGGTTTCCTGTGGTGATGTTTTCCTCCTGCCCAACTGGGTCTCACTTACCTGAATATCGTCGTCTTTTCCTCAGAACTTTCCAGGGCTCTTTTCCTTGCTCCAATAAGGAAATCACATCTGGTTTAGAAATGAAGTATCCTGCTTAGAAGAAAGGAAATAAAAGGTGATTTGGAAATAAAAAATAAATTTGAAGGCCTAGTCTGATGGCTTAAGTGGATGCATATTGAACTGCAGTGTTGAAAGGCACATGGCCAACCAACACAGGTTTGGATCCCTAGCCTGGTTGACCTGGTGTGTACCAAAAGTGTGTGTGTGCCCAAGATCCTGCTGAGCTGGAAAGGTGGTAGAAGGGACTCATAGTATGACAAAATTGTGTTGAGACTGCTTGTCTTGCTTTCTCTCTCACGCATATATACACACACTCAATCAAGAACGAATTAAAAAACTTAAAAATTCAAAATTACTGAGCTAACTGGTGGCACTGGGTTCCCACTTGACCAACCACGAGTCAAGTTGTGGACCCAGTGGCTTGAAAATCACACTGGGCATGTGTGAGTGCACGCCCAAAATCCTGGGAGGGAAATGGAGAAGAGATTGGTGTGGCCATTCCTACTAGGGGGTGATTTCTTACTTTCCTCCTATCTCTTGTCCCTCCCCCCAAAAAAACAAATTCAAAATTTCTTGAATACAGTATTGGTTAAATTTGAAATAAACCATATGTCAAAATTGTAAATTTTTTTTGGAGAGGTTTTTGCTATAGGGCGCATGCACTCACCAGAAAGACAAAGAGATGGACAGCAAGAAATTACCCCCTGGGGCGATGGCCACGCCGCAAGCCTTTCTCCTCCATTCTCCTCTCGGGATCCTGGGCACGCACACACACGTGCCCAGCATGATTTTAAGCTGCCGGGTCTGGGACTCAAACCACAGTTGACCACATGGGAGTCCAGTGACGTTACCATTATGCCAACTGTTGGTCTTAAGTAACATAATTCTTAAAAAAAATTACGTTGGGCCCAGCAGGTGGTGTGGTGGTTAAGATCCTGGACTACCACATGGTTGACCATGCTTCAAGTCCCAGACCTGGTGGCTTGCTTTTTCAATCCCCTTATCTTGCTCTGTCCCTCTCTGGTCAAATTAAAATAAGTAAGTAAAGTTGAATAAAATAATTCCTTTTTTTAATGTTAAGATTTTATTTACAAAGCTTTCTTGTTGTACAGAAAGTAAAAATGCTGTCACAATCTTGGTATAACTGATAGCCACGGACAGTTGAATCACCAATCACAGCTATCCACACTACAGAAAGAATGTTACACGAAAACCTAACAACGCTTACAATTTTGTTGGGGTGAAGTCCCTATAGCTTAGTAGTAGATTACCAAGAAGGACTAAATGGAGGAAGGTGGAATGTCACAGGAACTGTTCTTTGGTTCTTTGGATGGATGGGTGTCTTGGGGTTTGTATAACAGCAACCTTTTTTTAAACAGCTACCAAATCCATGAGCAATCCAACCAACACGGAACAGTCCTGTCTTTGCAGGTTACTTGGAGTCTTAATCATCTCCTTCATCATCTGTCTCTCTTCCTCTTCTCACCTTTCTCACTTTCTTCCTCCTCTTCATCCTCATCTTCTTCATCCACTTCTCCATACCCAAATTCTTCTTCCTCCCCACCGACTTCATCTTCTTCCCCTTCTACGTCTTCGTCTTCATCTTCATCAAACTTCCTCCTCACCATCCTCATTCTCCTCATGTTCATCTTCACATTCTTTGGCCTCCTCTTCGTACACACCATCCACCTCAGCATCTGAGTCGTAGGCTTCCTGATCCTCTTGATCACAGATGCCCAGGTAGGTGAGCTGGAGCGGCAGCCTAAAGATACTCTCTGGGTAGTCATTCAGCTTAGTAACTTCACAGTTAAACAGATGCAGGCCTTTCAGAAATTCCAGCTTTTTCAAAGGTTCCAAGGTACTGATGTCTTTCAGTTTATTTCCACTTAAATTTAGATGTGTGTGATTTGGAAGTTTTTCTGCTAACATGTCCAGACCTTCATAGACTCTATCTTACTGTGCTCAAGCTTTTTCAATGTAGGTAGCTTGGTAAGATTTGAAACTGAAATCAAGCCTACATTTATTAAACTGAGGAACTCTAAGTTCACAAATTTTGCTGTTAAGCCTTCAATTTTTCCATCCCTTGATTTGTAGTTGTCCAAGACAAGTTCAAACAGCTGCCGGGGTCCAGTTCCTCAGCTCCAGGTGGATCCTCCTCTTCAGGTCCACGTTACCCTCTTCTCCCTTCAAATTTAACTTTCCGAGGCAGGGGCAGAGGGGGAAGAGGTGTCCTGGCCTTTGCAGCGAGGTTGGTGGGAAGGGGTCTGCTCGCGACAGAGGCCGGCAGCACAGTCCCGGGCGGTGTGCAGAGAGCCGGCAGGCGTGTGGAGCCCTGGGAGCCAAGTTACTCACCTGAGGCGGAGAGAAACCATGGAGGGAAAAGGGGCTAGAGCGCGGCGCTGGCTCACTACCGCCGCCCCTGGCCTCAGCTCCGCACTGTGCATATTAAATCGGTGAAGCGGTGGGGCAGCTGTTCAGCTACATTCAAATAAAATAATTCTTAAAAAAAATTTTACCTTGGGGCTGGCAGATGGTAGATGATTAAGGTGCTGGATTCCCACATGGTCGACCATGGCTCAAATCCCGGACTTGGAGGCTTGCTTTCTCAACGTTCCCTCCCCCTCTCTCTGGTCAGTGTATGTATCCTATAGCAAATTTGAAATAATAATATGGGATCAGCAGATGGCATTATGGCTACGTAGCTGGACTCGCATGTAGTCGATTGCGGTTCGAGTCCTGGACCTGGTGGCTTAAACTCACACCAGGAACATGTGCGTGCCTGGCCAAGGTCCTCAGAGGAGAATGGAGAAGGGATTGTGGTGTGGCCACCCCTCCTAGGGGGTGATTTCTCGCTTTCTGTCTCTGTTTTTGCCCTATAGCAAAAACCTCTCCAAATAATAATAATAATAAATTAAATCATTATTTTTAAAAATTTACATTAAGCTTACACAAAATAGAGATTAGAAAGAGGGAAAAGATCTTACTGCTTGGTTTAAATCTTGTCTTTGCCACATCCCTGTAGTGTGTCCTTGGGCAAATTACTTCTAGGCTTCCTTTTCTTCATCTATAAAATAGAGATAAGGGCTGGCAGGTGGCATGGTGGTAACAGTGCTGGACTCCCACATGGCTGACTGCAGTTTGAGTCCTGGATCTGGCAGCTTGCTTTCTCACTTTCTGTCTCTTTCTGGTGAAATTTTAAAAATAGTAATAAATCAATTAAATAAACTTTTTTTTTTCAAGAGAGATTTTTGCTATAGGGCATATGGGCTTGCCAGAGAGACAGAAAGTGAGAAATCACCCCCCAGGAGGGATGTTCACGCTGCAATCCCTTTTCCTCCAGTCTTCTCTCAGGATTTTGGGCATACATACACACACACACACACACACACACACACACACACACACACACAGTGTGAGTTTGAAGTTGCCAGGTCTGGGAGTCAAACCATGGTTGAGTATGTGGGAGTCCAGTGATGTAACTATTACGGCATCTGCTGATCCCATAAATAAACAATTCTTTAAAAATATAAATATTTGGTACTATTATTACCCCTATTTTATCTTTTAAAAATAATTATTATTTAATTTTATTATTATCATTTTTAATTTGACCAGAGAGCGAAAGAGAGAAATTAAGAAAGCAAGTCGTGGGAACCAGCAGTTAGCTTAATGGCTATGTCACTGGACTCCCACGTAGTCGACTGTGGTTCGCGTCCCGGACTCGGTGGCTTAAAACTCACGCCAGGCGCGTGTGCGTGCATGCCCAAGATCCCGAGAGGAGAATGGAGGAGAAGGGATTGCGGCGTGACCATCCCCTCTGGGGGGGGATTTCTCGCTTTCTGTCTCTATGTCTCTGTCTGTCTGGCGAGCACACGTACCCTATAGCAAAAAAAAAAGAAAAAAGAAAGCAAGTCGCCACATCTGGGACTCAAGCCATGGTCAGCCATGTGGGAGTCCAGCACCTTAACCACCATACTACCAGCAGGTGGCGTGGTAGTTAAGGCGTTGGAATTCCCACATGACCGACCACGGTTCGAGTCCCGGATCTGGCGGCTTGCTTTCTCACTCTCTCTCTGTCTTTCTCTGGCAAAACTCATGTGAAAAATAATAATCATAATAGATAAATAAATAATCCTTTAAAAAAAGAATACAGCATATAATACATATAACATACAAAATTGACTGTTTAGCTTATCAGTAAGGTATGTAGTCAACAGCAGGCTACCAGAAGTTGAGTTTTGGGGACCAGCAGATGATGTAATGGTAGTTGATGGCAGTTTGAGTCACAGACCTGGTGGCTTGAAACTCATGCTGGGTGCATGTGCATGTGTGCCCAAAAATTCCCAAGAGGAGACTGGAGAGAAGGGACTGTGGAGTGGTCACCCCCGCTGAGGGGTGATTTCTTGCTTTCTGTCTTTTTGTCTCTCTCTGTTTCTCCAGCAAGTACATGTGCCCTATAGCAAAAAATCTTCCTCAAAAAAAAAAAAAAAAAAAAAAGTTAAGAGATTTTGGGCCAGCTCGTGGTACAATGGTAATGCAATGCTCTGCAATGCTTGACTTATGTGGGAGAGTCACAGGATTGCAACCCAAGGCTTCCCTATGCATGCAAGTCATATATGTGTGCCTATGATCCAGGTTGGTGGAGACTGGGGGTGAATCACAGCATGGGAGCCCTGTGTGGATTGCCTCTTTGTCTCATGAAAGAAATAAGTGTACTTTTAAAAATGGTTTTGGGGAGTCAAGAGTTATTACATGGATTTTTTTCTGTGTAGAGAGTTGGTTCAAGGGTCACCTGTATTTCATTAGCTATTGGGTTTTCAGAAAAGTCATGATTCATTTTTTCTATGCAATAATACATCATAACTTTTCCAACAACCCAGTATTACTTATTGTTACTTTACTGAGAGAAAGCAAAAAACTTTTTGGGCAGATGGACAGTGATACAGTAAGTAGTAACACCACTCAGTCTAACCCACATGGCAAGATTCTGGGTTTGCATCTGGAGAGCTTCCTATAAATACACTGAGCATGTGCATGCCCATAATCTGAGGCTCATGACCTAAAGCTGTGGGTAGATCATGGTATTAAGGTCTTGATGGGGGGACCAGCAGTTAGCTGGCTATGTCGCTGGACTCCCACATAGTCGACCGCGGTTCGAGTCTCAGACCCAGTGGCTTGAAACTCAAGCCGGGTGCGTGTGCGTACGTGCCCAAGATCCCGAGAGGAGAATGGAGGGGAAGGGAGTGTGGGGTGGGTCAACC